ATATTGTGTAATTACTTCCTGATGTTGTTAAAAAACCCACAAATTCTCCAGGGATCTGGTTGCTTCTACTTTGTTCTACTGGATCATGTTTCATTTAATTTTTCATTTTATTAATTTGAGATATTTTTAATAGTGTAGATAGGTTTGAAAAATTAAAAAGTTGTATCCTTAAGCAGTATCTGAAAAGGTTAAAAATACCTGTTTTGAGAACTGGACATTGAGGAGAAAGTAACAGTTGGCAAGAGCAGAGGGGTAATGATGCATGACTCAAACTCAGAACAAAATGTAGAGCTTGAACTACAAATTAGCTAATGTTTCTGGGCTTCTCCATTAAATCACTGACCTCTGTTTCCATTCCTCGCAATATATACATGACACCAGTAAAAGTCTCGCTGGGAAAGCGGATACATCATCTGTTGTTCTTATGGAGCAAACCCAGCCCTGCAGACCTGCTGCCCAGGTGCTTCCCCTGGGCTCTGGAGGAGCTGCTGGTGCCCAGTTTCTCCCCGTGGATGTCCCTGTGTCCCCGGTGGCACCGTGACCCTGTCAGATCCCTGGGCTGTTTGATGGGCCTGTCCAGCCTGTTCCTCTGCAGCTGTAGGTGCTGCTCCGGGTTCTAAATTAAGTTTTCTGTGATACTTCATAAAAAATGTCACTCTCCATCCTATTTAACTAATTTCAAAGGCAGAACCTTCCCCTGAAGTGTTTGAACTCTGGTAGGAAACTGCGGGGCAGCTGCTGGTTTCCGGGCCTCTGGTAATGTTGTCTTTCACCTGGGCTCCTTTGAGCTGAAATTCCCCTTTTTTTTTTTTTTTTTTCCTCCTAGTTTGTTTTACTTAAAGGAACACAGTTTAATTTATCCTATCCTGGAGCTCTGTCCAAGCTGGCAAAGCTGTAAGAGGCCCTTTTTAATTAGGCTGGTTGTCAGCACTAAGATAACGGTGTGGGTTGGAACTGGTGGGGGCACCTTTCTCAGTGTGGGTGGAGTGAGGAGGGAAAGGCAAGTTCAGTGCAGAACAGTGTCTTTGAGAGCACTGGGAATACAGAATTACTGGAGTCACCCTTTTACACCACAAAAAGAAACCATGACCTGACCTCTGGCCATATTTTTGGCTGCTGACATTCCATTTATAACAATGGGTTTATTTGGCTACAGCTCAGGGTAGTTTGGGCACAGTGTTACTTAAATGGCACAGACAGGGGTGGGGTTGGAGATGAGAAGCTTCTCTGCCACCAAAAACACTGAGTAGTGACAAACTCCATGGGTTTCCAAGGCAGTGGAGTGCTCTGCAGGCTGTCTGAGGACAGCAAGCAGCACTCAGGTTTGGATAAGCAGTGGTTCAGAAGGCAGGGATTGGGAACCTGCCTGACAGCAGGAGAATCCTCCTTTTACAGATGTGCTTCAGCCCTGGGGCTGTTGGCAGAGCTTTATTACTCTATTTAGCACTCCATTATTCTATCCACTTATGATTTCACATTCGAGTTGCTGAATTTTTCAGCATTTAAAAACCCCACTAATGAGGCTCATTTCAGTAGTAAATCAGAAGTGGGGGGAGAAGCATTTGTGTGTGCAACATCCATTGCGCTTTTGCATCTCTTGTGGTTATTTTTTTACACCCCAGCCTCTTCAAACATCATAACTCTCAATATTCCTGACTCACTCTTCTCTCCCTCTTCATCACTCAGCCTAATCTCCCTGGGGAAACCTGTTTGCTGCTTAACCTCTCACCCCGTGTTAAACAGCTAATTTCTCTTTTCTGCTACTGATCCCAGCAGCAGGTTCAACTTGTTTTGTGTTTGGAAGGGGGACCAGGGAAGCACAGGAAGGTTGCAGTGTGGACAAGGATAATGCTCCCATCATAAATATCTGCACACCTTTCACGTAGCAGCTCTGGAACTGAAGTTGGTTGCAATTAAGATTCAAGAGCGCTCCAGTGCAAGGAAATTACTCCTCCTAAACCTTGTCAAAGGACGTTTTTATGTGCCCTGGAAATACCCAAAGCTGGCTGCCAGGCATTTAGCACTAATATCTGATTTACAGCATGATCTTTTTATAACTAGGTGAGAGGGTCCTTCGTCAGCTCCACTTTTAAACTGCCTAAATTAAAGACAGACGAACTGTACATGTTCCACTGCTACATCTTCTGACAGACTCCAGGAGGTCACTCAAAACAGGTGAAGACACGGGTTAGTTTGCTGTTTTTAGCTCCAAGGTAATAATTTTCGGTTTTGTGCCCTGCTGCAGCTTCATAGCAGTGGAGAACATCGACAGCTACTGCGTGCTGATCTCCTCCAAGGCCGTGTACTTCCTCAAGAGCGGCGACTACACGGACCGCGATGCCATCTTCCTGGAGGTCAGGTACGATGACCTGTACCACTGCCTGGTGTCCAAGGACCACGGCAACGTCTACATCCAGCTCACCAAGAAGGCTGTGAACACGAGCAGCGGGGTGGCCATGCCAGGCCCCTCCCAGCAGAGACCCATGGTGAGCTCCTGGCACCTCCTCCCCTCCCTGTGCCCCAACCTGTGCCCCCCTCTGGGGGGGAGAACCTTCTCCTGCTCTCCAACTTCAGGCACTCCCTGAACTCCTGAGAAAGCTCAAGAAAGGCAAACCCTAAAATATTCCTTCAGGCAGAAAAGTAACAGGAAGAAACCATGCGTTTACCTGTGAAAGGCTTTTAACTTTACCACAGAAATAGAACTTGGCTACTTTTCTGGCTTTTTACTCATCTCCTACTTGTGGTGTTTTTTCACTGTGAGGTCTCTTAAGACTGGAAACAGTGTTTATGTCGAGCATATAAAAGTTAATCAAGGTTTTCTCTTCTAAAGCCCATTACAGGGCTTTCTGTGCCATTACAGTAGTTGCTCAGGGGCTGTTTTACAGGCCCAGTTACAAGCTCACCCCTGACCCAAGGCAGTTTACATTCCAAACAGAGCAGCCAGATAAAAGGTAGGAGGGGAAGCAAAGGAAACAACCTCAGATATGGTAACATGTTCCTGCTCTCACCCTCAAATACCTGTGTGTGTCCACCTGGTCCACTTGCTTCTTCCTTACTCTGTCTCAGCACTCAGAAGGGATCTCCACTGACACCTTTCTGTTCCTCACTTCAGAACTTAAAACCTCTTCAGCTTTAGCTGACAGCAGGAAATGAAAATCCCCTTTCTTTCTGCAGGTGAAAGTGAAATCAGAAGCCCTGGCAGTACAGCTGTCCCAAGAAATCAACTATGCAAAGAGCCTTTACTACGAGCAGCAGCTGATGCTGAGACTCAGTGAAAATCAAGAACAACTCGAGCTGGACTCTTGAAAACCCCCCCCTTTCCTCACTGCCAGACTGACCTGCAAGCACCAGGCTGGAGCCAGAACTGAGAAGGGAAAAAGAAGTATCATTTTAGTATTTAGTGAAAACAAAGAGAGGTGGCTTTTCTTTTTCAAGCACTAGGTGTGTGACAGAGGTGTAGCTGACACAGCTTTGGGGCTGGGAGAAGCCCTGTATTTTGCTAACATGTATATATGTACAAGTGTCCCTGTAAATAGGAGCGGGCAGGCGGGTGTTGGTATAAATACAAGTCTGTTTACTGTGTAAAGAAATTAAAGGAGCTCTACTGAGTTGTACTGCACTACCTGACACAAGCCCTCCTCTCTCTCTCTTTTTTTTTTTTTCCCTTGAGAAAACTGATTTTTCCAAGTGCAGGAAAGTAAATAAACATTTAAAACGTAAGATTAAGAGTTAATTTCAGCTGCTGGAGCACAGGCGGCCTGTGGTTTGGAGCTTTAACACTGTGAGAAGGGTGCATTGGTTGGGGTAGTTTAATGGGATTTTTGTTGGGTTTTCTTTTTTCTCCTAACTCACTAGTACAGGTGAATGCACAGAGACCTGGTGTTCCAACGAAAATGTCAGCCTCTTTTTTTTAACAAAAATAGCATTTTGGTAAATATTACAGTGAGGACTCACTAATCCAGTTTTACATTCACAGTGTGACTTATTTCTAAAACAGGTGAAGGGAGGAGCCTTGGAAATGGAATCTCTAACTTCAGGTTTGCCCCTCTCTCAGATGCAGGGAGGGTTTTAGAGCTGGGGGGGGGGAGTAGGGAATGGTGCCTGGGGAAGGGGGGGAGAGGAAATCACTTGTTTGACTTCACAACAACATCTTCAAAAGTAAAGTTTTCAAATAATAAAAGTAACATGTTTTTTTCCAACTTTGTACATCAAATCAGTATTTGTCTCATTAACCATAACCAGGCTGAAGATGAGGAATGAGTGTCCTTGAACACCTTAAATCCACAGGAACTGGAACCCTCAGTGTCATTCCCTGGAGGTGCCAGATTACAACTTTCCTGTAGTGCTGAGTAACCTAAATTTTAAAGTAAACCTTTAGTTATTTGGTAAACCTTTGAGCTGCACCTTTAAAAGATTAACTTGAAAGTAAAGTCCTTTCATAAAGGCACGTGGGAGTATTTTGGTACTGAAGGTCAGAATGGAACCAGTTCTGAACTCGTGGAAAATACCTGCCTGGTGAAGGTGGGGAAGGGAAACAAGGAGCTGTGCTGATCATTTACAGGGATGGATTGAATGCTTGGGGTCTGTAACTATTTTATGCAGAGATGATGTGCAAATAGCAGTGGTTGAACTGTCACCCTGGGAGTGCCCTCAACTCAGGGAGCCACAGTGGACAATGGATCTCATTTGTGTAAAAAAAAAACCGTTCCAAGTGTAACAAAGAGTGGATGAAATAACAGCTCAGCAGGGGCAGGAAGGAAGAACTGTCTGTAAGTGGTAAAGAGGTGCCTCATACACAACATGGAAGTGCCACATGTGACGTGGGGGTGGTGGCAGCTCCTCTCTTTATCTTCCTTTTCTGCTACTCCCCTTCCCTTTCCTGTCTTCCCCAGTCCTCTCCTCCCCTTTATTTCCTGTCACATCCCTTTCTTTCCCTTTCCTTTCCCCATCCTTTCCTATCTTTCCTGCCCTTTGTTGTCCTTCCCTCCCTTTTCCTGTCCTCCCCTCTATTCCCCCTTCCTCCACTTCATTATCCTCCCCTTCCCTCTCCTGTCCTCTCTCCCTGGCACACCGTGCTCAATCCTGTGCTCCTGCCAAGGTGTACAAATCCAGGAAGATGTCACCACTGTCACTGCTGGATCCTCCCCTGCCCCCCTCCCCAGTGACTGACTGACTGTGCAATCAGGTCTGACTCCCCTGCCCAGAGATAACTTATCAGTGCACGTGCTGCCTCTTGAGAAAGGGAATGTCTTCACTTTCCAAAGTCACGGAAGAAACTGGAAAAAAGGAGACTCAGTAACTTTTAGACACTTTACACAAGGCAGGGGTGAAGTTCTCCATGTCCCTCTGCATCTCATTGTTTCACAGTGAAATACCCCTTTCATTGACACCATTCCTGGAGCAGGGACAGTTCTGTTTCCAGCAGGGCCCCCGTGGTGAGGTGTCCCTGCACAGGACAACACCATCCTCCCCTGCCCTCTGCTCCTGAGCAGACTCCCAGTAAATCACTGTGGTGACACATCCCAGCAGCTCCAGTCCCCAGGGCTGTTTTCCAGAGCAGTGCAGTGCTTACATTTTTGTGGGGAGAAGCTTAAGTGGCTAAATGGGCCACATCTCAAACCCAAGAAACAATCATCCATTTCCCAGCGACAAGGACCTTTGGATCCATCTGCTCAGTCCCTGGACTGCAGGATGCTTTAACATTTATCTCTTTTCAGTAAAATACCTTAAGGTTTTAGGCCAACTATATATGTATTTGGGGTTTTTTAATTCTTTTTCTCTCTAAAACACAGCTTAGTACCAACCTGCTTCCTACACTGCCTGACCCACTCAGCTGACAACTCCTCCAGCCCCTTGCTCTATTTCTTCTCCTCCAAGGAGCTGCCTCAATCTGCTGGTCACAGTGATGTCACCTGTGGTACTTGGCTCTGAAAAAGCAGGTTTCAGTGACACTCCTCAGCTTACAGCCTGCTGCACAGATACTGAAAAAAAAACCAAAACACCAAAGCAAACTCAAAACACATTTTAATTAAGTCAACAGTTGCTCAAAATCCACTTACACAACTTTTCTTCTAACAAAGAATAACAGTGTGTGTCTGTGCTTCTGTACTACTTTTTTAATATATACACACACACCAAATATACATTTTAAAGTTCTCTTGAGAAGCAAATTCCAAACTCCTCTATTCCTAAAGGCAGAGTTGTTACAAAGAAGGAACTTATTTTTCTGGAAAAAAAATAAAATAAAATAATGTGCCCAGAGCTGCAGACTCCAGTACTGCTGTAGAATTCCAGCCGACAGCACACTCTGACTGCACTTTATGATCCTTAATTTTATTCAATACAGGGCTGGGACAAACCACTTCCAACTCCCCAACTCCTGTTTCTGGTTTGACTTTCCCGCAGCCTTTTTCTTACATCTCTGCTCTGACAGCTTTGAAAAAGGGCTCAGGGCAGCACAAACCCACCTGCCTGAGAAAATATTAAGAGGACACCGAGCAGTTTGACTGAACCAAAGACTTTTCATGGTTCTCCAGCAGTAGCAGATTTTCTGGACTGGGAAAACTTGAGGCAACCCCAGCACCAGGGGAGCACTGGGACCAGCCCTGCACGTGCCTCGAGACAGGAGAGGGCAGAATCCTACAAGGATTCCTGCCAGAAAGAAAAGGTTACCCATTAACCAGTGACAAACACTGGGGAAAAAAACAGTCTTTTTTTTTTTTTTTTTGGTGTTTTTCTCAGTAGAAGCACAGCACACCCTGGGCCAGAAATCCCAATCTCTGGGAGCAAACTGCAGCAGCTGCTTTGGGTCAGCTCTGCTCAGGGCCTGGGGACACTTGTCAGGCTCCAGTGCCACACGGGGTTTTGTTGCTTGTGGTTTGGGTTTATTTTTGTTTGATTCCCTGCATCTGACACCGCAGCGCCTGCCCCCTGGGCCCAGCACGACGTGTTCTCGTGGTGGGTAAAAACAACCTTGTACCTCTGGGCTGACTCAAAAGCACTGAAAGGCCACGAGAGAAGTAAACAGCTTCCATGTGCATTTACAGTTTGGATAAATGGCCGGGTCACCCAAAGGACAAGGGCTGCTACGGGAGCTGCAGAACAATGGTTTCTGAAAATGCCAGCAAAAAAAAAAAAAGGAAAAAAAAAAAAGTCCCCTGCACGCTGCAGCTGGAGAGGAATTGTAACAAATAAAAGAGAAATCCATCATACCAGCCATCCCTCAGCCCTCCAGACACCGCAAAAGCAAACATTTGCTCTGCCCCGGGAGGGTGACTCACCATTCCTGAGCTCTGCTGCTCCACGGCCCTTGGCAAACAACTCACAACCAGCAGAACAAACCACCGCGTATCAAAATAGTGATGTAGCAAAAAAACGTGTGTCTGCTTGGAGGTTTGGTGGGAGGGGGATTAAAATAAAAAAAAAAATCAAATAATTCTTTAAAATGACCCATCATTCACAGGCCCAGGCTCTGCCCCAGCCTGCTCTTGGGTAGGTCAGAGCCCTGACACAGCAGCACCAGGAGCACCACCAGGGATGTTCCCCCTCTGCCAAGGCAATTCCAGGCCATTCCATTCATCCTTTTTCAGGATTTATTTTAATCTCAAAGTATGGAGGAAACAGTATTGGAGGTAAAACATCCCAGAAATGTGAAATTCTGTTCAGCACTACCTGCTGTGCCAAATACATCTGTATTTGTGGGGTAACAGCACTTGCACTAAGAGTCTTCAGAGGATTATAGAGACAACACAAACTCACACCATTCTCTCACTGGTTACTCTCTGGTCTTGCAGCACGACACCAGTTACTACCTGTACATTTTGCTTCACTGACACTAATCCCAACTGCTCATCCTGCCCATTAAAACAATAATATTTTAAACCAAACCAGTTTCCCCCTGGAGAAACTCTCTGCTGCTGATAAAACCTTGAGAGCAAAAGTAAACAGCTGCCAAGGTCATAATCACACCGAGATCATAGCAGAGCTGACATTTATAAGCAGGTTTAAGAGCCAACTCCCCCACTTTGAGCTTCCCGATTTCAAACACTAAAAATCCACATTACACAAACAATTTCACTCGCCTTTCTTTCTTTTCATAGGTACCTTTTCGCCCTCTCCTTTGAGCACATGCCAGAGGAATCAACACGCAGAAGAACAGGTATTTATACACCACCCAGAACGCATCCCAGGCCATCCAGGAATTCCCACAGCAGTGTCAGCTGCACTCACAGTCTCAAAAACAAGCATTGCCCAAGCAGAGCTCCCAGGCCTGTTTGAGTACCAGCCATCAGTGACAGGCCCCCCAGCACTGCTCATGAGCCTCAGCCTGAGCTCTGTGTGCACCCCAGGATCATCCTGGTCCTGCAGGATCAACTTGCTGCAGGTTCCCATGGAATGCTGAAATAACCCCCACACCGCACAGGAATCCACGTGCACACCTTGCACACTGTGCCAGCGCCTCACCACCCTCCCTGTAAAATATTTCTTCCTTATATCTGGTCTAAGACTACTCCACTTTACTTTGAAACCATTGTGGCTTCTCCTGCTTTAGCAACAGGCCCTGCTAAAAACTTTGCTGCCCACACAACCAACCCACTGATGCTCTCAGGGGAGAGCAGGTTCCACTGCACCTTTCACACACAAATATTGAACCATGAGCCACTTCTGACACAAAACACACCACTGACTGAGGATGGACACAATCCCAGTGCCTGTGTATCCATAGAAAGCGCATCCACACCTTCTCCAGGCTGTGCCCGGCAATGATTCCTTCACATCCACACCTTCTCCAGGCTGTGCCCGGCAATGATCCTCCCCGTTCCCTGCTCTGCCCAGCCAGCAGGAAGGAACAGGTTCCCACCACGAGCGGGGAGGAGGCATTTCTGGAGGGCTGGCTCCTGTTCAGCAGGGAAATGTTTCCCTTGGCTCGCCGGAGTGGCCGGGACCGTGCGCGATGCGGGGCCGGAGGAGCCAGAATTCCATCCCACCCCCTCCTCCCCATTACTCTTTTTGATTGGCACTTTAATGAGGGCGCCGGGGGTCGACCCCCTGCCAGGGGGCCGGTTCATGCCCCGTTTATCTCACAGTCCATGTAAGACTAAAATAACACGCCAGGCTGAGTTTCACTGGCTTGTGATCCCGCAGCCCACCGTGATGGATTGAGTGACTGCAGCAAGTTGGCAGCTAAAGTGTGTTGTAACAGTATCTTTCTGTCAGCGCAACACAATGGATTTGCTGATTCCCGGGCTTTTCCCGGTGTTCGCCGTTGCCATCGGCTCGCGGTTCCCCCAAAGTTCGTTTTCCGGGGGGGGCCGCGGAGCGATAATAAATAACACACCGAAGGTTACGCCGAGCTTTCCTCCTTCCCCTCGGCTGCTGAGGGAGGGAGGGGGTTCGGTGCCACGCACAGGAACAGCCAGAAATCCACTTGCTCCTCCAGAAAGGAGGGGAGGGGGGCGGCTCCGCTGCTCTTTTGTGGGAGCTCGTTCTGCCGGGCCAACTCAAGGCTTTTCACCGTGAGAACAATCCAGCACCAAGGGTTGCCTCCTAAAGCAGTTCTCTCCCTCCACAAGAGCTGTTGGGTGATTTGGGGCTCAACTTCACAGGCTGCAGAGTCAGGACTAAGAAGTCACAGACCTTGTCATCACCTTACTTGTTTGCACTGTTTAGAACCACCAAAACCATCCGTAGGTGCACTAGAATATCCAGGAATCCTGTGCAAGCTCTGGATGACGCTTTAGATCCCTTTATTTAATACTAAAAAATATCCTTATATCTCCTCTATAGGAAAATCTCAAACAAGAGGGATCGTTTCCCTTTAAAAGCCCTGGAGTCTTAGGAAAAGGACTGAATTTTTATAAGTCATCCAAAGAGGTCCTCTACTGAGACCTTAATTCTGTGCTCTGTTTCCTCAATATCCTTTCATTCTCCTTGCCACAGATAAAGGAAAAACACACTGGGATATGAAAAGGAACATGATGGGGGAAAAGGGGCAAGACTGAGGAGCTGCTTGGAGAAAACACAGCTGCTCTCAGTGGCAGCTCTTGACCATACAGATCACTGCAGATTTCAAGCCACAGTGCTGGAGAAAAGAGCCTCACGAGTTGAGGATCTTTATTTGTGAGAGAAGAGACAACAACCACCAAAAACTGGAGCAGCAGCAGCAGCACACGAGGTCACTACCAGTGCAATTCTCCCCGAGTGCAGAGCATGCAATGATCCCAGAACTGCTCCAGAGGTTCCAGCCCACTCCTGGACACCCCAGCTCTGCAGCCTGCACACACACCACTCACTGAGCTTTGAACCAGCCACCTCAGAGCCTGCCAGCAACACCAGCCCAGCCCAGAGAGCAGGGGATG